AAGGTTCCCAATATCTTGGGAAGCTACCAAGATTATCTTTGTATAGAAACATGAGTATGAATACCTTAGTGTAGAATTGCTTAATTTTGTGACATGGAAAATATGTGGACTATTGAACACAAAAAGTTTATAGTTACTCCTAAAGTTCAACTCTTTTTAATGAGTCACCAGTGTCATCGAAACATGCTCACCTCAACATACACATATGTAAATAGATAGATATGTGGCGCACATTTTTGTTTCCTTTCCTCTCCCCATACCCATGCAATTTAAATCATATACAATGAAGACATCAAATGAAGACATCAATTTAGGAAGTAATAACAACTTAAAGAGAATTAAATGTATAGGAGAACAAAATTGATGAAATGAAGACATCAAAGTAACAACAACTTAATATATTATAGTCCTAAAAAAAGCATGAAAGAGTTAAACTTGCCATTAAATTCCAAATAGTGGAGAAAAAGATATGAAAATAGAATCAAAAATCTTAAACATAACCTTGCTACCAACAACCCAAAAATAGAGAATTGATAATGTTTGTCCGTAATATTTGCACATGTTAACCTTATATTTGTATCGCAATAATCATTCCTTATCCACACTCAAATTGGAAAATATTTTCTTAAAAACCACATTGTTTGTGTGAGATAAAGATTGGTTCCTTGAATTATGTATCAACACCTTCAACCCATCTACGTAAGACAAAGCAACATATAACTGCCCATGAGTAAATACAGGACTTGATAGGTAAATACTAACATTTCCAATGATTGTCCTTGACTTTTATTAATTGTCATAGCAAATGATTGTACCAAAGGAAACTGATGACGTTTCAACTTAAATGGTAACTTGCTATCAGATAGATTTAAATCCATTCTATGTATTAGCACCATGTCACCTTTATTTGATCCATTTAGTATTTTAGCTTTAATCGCATGTCATCCAAGATGACAAATAACCAATCTTGTCCCATTATATAAGCCCGCTGACTAGTCATCATTTCTAAGAAGTATCACTAGCATACCCACCTTTAAAGCTAATCGAACTAGAGAAAGTCCTGATGAATTAATGTAGTTCAAGAATTTAGGAGGATATAATTGATCAAAAACATCATTACTCTGTGAGATCAAGATAGAATCAGCGCTAAGGTTGACGCATTCATCACTAGGGAAAATTGAGCAAACATAATCATTTAATCTAGAAATAACTTCATTAGTGGTTGATAAAATAGCATTAGCAGTGAAGTATTTAGGATCATTATACCTTTGATTCAACTTTGGATACACACTACGAAGTATACTATCAATTGGATTCACTAATATTGGAATGAGAGTAAAAGAAGGTACATCTATAAGGGTACAACCATCAGTCACTTCACCTATATTGCCATCACTAACATCCAAAATCCATTTTGAAAATTATTTGATTCTATCACAATCTTCATTAGATTTATTTTGTAAACGCATGTTTTGAGTTAAATGGAATATCGACAAAATTGCCATAAATAAGATCGATTGATCACACACTCAACAATGTCTGCCCTAATGCCTTTAGGAATGAATGGTAGAGCTTGATGAAAATCTCTACCAAGTATGACACAGTTACCTCCAAATGGATATAGATAGGAATCAGAATCATCAACGTGCATGAGATCATGTAAAGTTTTGTCAATTGCTTCAAGACAATAACATTTAATCATTGGAGCCTTATCTTAAATAATAAAGGTAGCCTTTCTAATCAATCATACAGTTGCTGAGTTAAAAGAAATATTACATGTTGAATCTTTAGTGAGGTCAATAGGAATATGAAAAGCAGAATGCGCTATATGGCCAAAAAGAGGTAACATTGCCACAATCCCACTTGATGCAACAGTTAGAATAGCTTGTCCTTATGCATGAGTGTGTGCACATAGTGCTCTCCAAATGAAAGTTTTGATAGTACCACCATGTCCATAAATAAAAAAAAAGATTTGATCTCTTGTTACCAATAGATGATAGAATTTTATTATATACAAAATGTTGCTCATCATTCATTAATGACACCATGTTATCTGCTTGGTACGCACGCACACACCTCTCTATCTTGATTTAATTTCTGTAAAATATAACAATTATCTATATTTGATTGGAAATCATATGTTGTTGGAGTAGGCATCCCTGGATAATCTGCAAGTGTTCTGCCATTTTTTCTTAATATGTTATCAATTTCCCACAATGCAATTGATTCCTTCTTTTCAATCAAAATCCTTTGACCTGTGGCATCAATAACTAATCAATATAAGGCTTCAAAAATCAAAGGCTCTTACACTATGAAAGAAGAAAGAAAAACGTGAGACGAGGGGAAAAAAACTCACACACAATAATAATAATACTTAGTAGTATAAGCATGCCAATTCATGTAATAATGTGTGCACACCTAGGGGGAAAAAAGAACCAACCACTAAAGAAACTAAGGAAAGCAAAATCAACATAAATACCAGCAACATCAAACAAACCAAATTACAAAAATCTAACGTAACAAATCCACTATAACATTATCTAAATTACCTGACTCAGAAGTTGCTCGAGGCATGGATAAAATATCATCAACCAATAGTTCCTTAGTCTAATTCCATGCATCAAGTAGTTGAGATAAACATTGTGACAACAACATCTAGGCAAAAAATTGTTGTAATAACTTACTTGTTGCCTAGAATGCTGCTTTCTTAATAGCTTCAATGTATTTTGTGTCATCAAACAACAACTCGATAGCATAACATGCTGTATGAAACATTGGGTGAACGACACCATCAACTGTTCGTAAATCATCAAAAGATGTCGGTCCTTTCACTTTATTTAATAAGATATGCAAGAAAAATAATTCACCAAAATTAGGATGAACATGATGGAGGCAACCAATTTTAATACCCTTCTTACGTCCTCACTACTCCCTATTCCTCCGATCATACACAAACTTTGAGGGGAATTCACTATATGTTAACTCTCAAGCCATAGCATTGTAACGATTACAGCCCAACCAAGCTATCATTATTAATTCATTATTCTTTGCACGTTCCAACACAGCATTGACATCATCTAAATTAGTATACATTACTAATTGTTCTCCTGGGAGGTGAAACTTCAACCTTTCAACTGTAGGGTATTTATATTACACATCAAAAGAAAGTATACACCATGCAACTTTGCTCGACGAAACATAACAACAATTGTAAAATTGCTGGATCTCATCATACATCATTTCACCACCCACCTATTCATTTCTTGCATAGAACCTAACAATAACACGATCATTACTTTTACTAACATATTTAAATAAGTATTTAATAGACCATGAATGGTTCTTCTTTTCCATATTTATATGGGCCTGAAATTTTAGCAACGATAATACATTATATGGCACAATGTATTTATTATCCAACGGAACTCCTTTCTTTTCTATAACTCTACCATCGTTACGTCATCTATATGTAGGATAACCATCTTCATCAACAGTGGTTGTCTCAACAAACTTCTTTGGAAAGTAGCACATACACCTACGACCTCGCATACAAGGTGACCTTGGGTTTGATACTCCATATGGACTGTGGACCATATGATCCCTCATGAGATTAAATAATTGTAGATTGGTTTTTGTATTAGAATCTCTACTGAAATCACTCAATCAACATCTTCTGGCATTTTTATTTTGTTCTGATTGCCCAAAACAAAAGTATATGCACATGTGGTAATCCTTTCTTTTGAAATTCTATTATATATACAACTACACAACACAAATGCCTCATGAGAACAACAAGCAATAAAATGTGTCACAAACAACTCCTTTGACAACAATAACTAATACTAAGTAGAACTTAAAATCCATTACAGCAAAACCCAATAAGGACATACTATGAATAGGAAATTAAAAAAGATGGAAAAAATTATAAAAGCACATTCACTTAATGGAGGGGGAAAAAATACAAGCGAAACATTTGATATTAAGACAAACTAATTTTTAGTATGTGGCAGCAAATCAATGCTACATTCACTACCAAAAACAATTCTTAAATTATTTTAATCACACTTACATAGAACAGGGTAAAAGTCACACACCTGTAGAGACAACCCTAAAGGGCTCTTCATCTCGAACAAACAGTAACAAAGATTGTAACTTCATTTCAAAGACACGGCTAATAATATCTAGTCGGTCAGACAGATGAACAGATTCCTTATCACAAAATTGTTTAATTTCATGCCATGATGGGTTACAAGTAAATGTAATGAATAGATCTGGATAACCTTTCCAATGGCAAATTGCCATCGCATCTTGATAATTCTCAATCAAGTAGCGTGGCCCACTGATAAAAGATGATGGCAATATAATCCTCTTGCCGGTGAGGACCGCATTCATTTCTCCTTTGTGAATAGCATTAGCAAGATTCTTGTATTTGTCAACATGCAACTTAGACTAATTATACCAAGTAAACTTCAATCGTTCGGCTTCAATCATAGTATACCCATTGACAACAAATTGTTGGAATAACCGACAAGAGCAAAGCAATATTGACAAAATATTTTGTCTAGTCATTAACTTAAATGACAAATACTCTTGAATGGAAATGGCTTTCACACAACCATTAAGATTAGACAAGGTAGCCCTCGCGTGATGTAATGAATCATTATACTCGCCACATCCATAAGGAAAAAGCACAGGACATTGCAAAGGCAAGTATAATGGGTGAAGTTCATTTATACGAGTCAGTTCACTAGACCTTTTCTCAATAATGACATCTCATTCACCATAACACTCATCAAAATCCCCAACAATCAATGCTACTACTTCTGAAGCAAACGGCATATTATAAGTTCGGCTATCACCTGAATATTTACTAACCAAATGCACCCTAATATTACTTGATTCATTAATCTTAACCATTTCAAAAGCCAGTCGATACATCTTGACTAACACATTATACTCATTAAACATCCTCATCAAATTTTGCACAATGCGATAATCAAGATTTGACACATCACCATTTGCACTATGCAACATGACCAGTATAATCAAGAAAATGATAATGGAAAACAAACAAATCTAAAAAAAATCCAATTGATGCAATGAAATCAAGAAGCAGTGACAAAATGAATTACCTGACAACAGCCATTCAATTAGCCACCTCATGTTCAGTGTCATACACATACAACTAAGAGTACAATGGAGCTAAACCTTTTACTAGCAAAAAACTTCCAATCTAATAATAGTTTTGACTACTTAACACATATGAGAACGGACCAGATCCAGAGAAAACCCTCATTCTTCCACCCATTGAAGTAAAAGAAAACATGTTATTATATGACCAAATATTCGATAAAAATTGCTTGCACTCAAGTAGTTCTCTATTGAAATACAAATCATGCAAATATGAGGGCGGTAATGAATCAGGAGGTAGCATCACTTTCCCTTGTGAGCAACATAGTGAAAACAGCAATCGACCTCTGTGAGGACCTTTCTTCACCCTCTCATTAAACCAAAGTAGTGCATGACAAAATCCACACTCATGCATTGCATCACCTTCATCAACATAACCTATTAATGCCATCAACCCAATGGAAGCACAACAATTACTATCATCATGTAATGTTAGTTGTAACATTAAAACACAAAACACTATAAATGGAAAAAACCACACCCAGTAACATTGTGGAAGATACACACCTCTGATTATACAAAACATAAACAAAAAGTAGAAAATAAAAAAAATAAAAATAGGAGAGAGATAGCATAAGGGAAAAACATTAGGCTAAAACGAAAAAAAAGAGCAAAGTCAAAGAGCAAAACGAAACATGCTCAACAAGTTTCAACATTAAAAACCAAATTCAAATAGAGATACAGACAGCGTACTTGATTCCTCCTCAAGGGGCACTACTGACAGAGCCTTGCTTGAATCATGACCTTCACACACACGTCCTCCACTGCATAACAACAACCCAAATGAAAACAAAGCATGAGTAAAATACTTAAAGTAGACAAATTCATGAAATGAGGTACCAACGCATCACCCGAGAAAAGAAACCAAGAAAGCTATGCTAACTAACCTAAAATATTTACAAAAGAAAAAATGAACCCAAAGTTTCTCTACTCACTGACAAAAAATAAACTATAATATGCAGAAAAAAAATCAAACAAACAACCAAAAACTTGTAAATCGTGGCAAATAAACACACTGACATGTAATAGAATAACAATCCCCAAACATAAAAGTTAACAAACAACAAAAACTATATGACTTTTAGGATAAAACCTAAATAACCTTGAAGATAAATTTTGATTAACGGTTCTACCTACAACATATCGCCCTCAAATACCCTTTAACTTGCAATGCCCCTTACTTTCCAATACCCAACAATATGAATCAAATCAACAACACAAGAGAAGGCAAATGCCACACAAGAGGGAAAAAAAACAAATCATAGCTGAGGTTGACCAATATTTGTTATATCCTCAAGAGGATGTTCACGCCTCAACCCATCACCTTGGCCACATGAAGATTCCTCTTGATGAGACACACCACTTAATCGAAATCGATCATTGGTACCATAACCATGAAAAAAGTACTCTAGTCACATGAAAAGGACCCAAAAAAATATATTAATAATAATAATAATAATAATAAAAGAAAAGAAAGAAAAGAAAACAAACCAAAAAAGAAACATATGAATATACACCAGGCATAATCCCAACTCAAAGAGAATCACGAAATCTATACATCTAACGAAACAATAATCTCCCACCATTCAATCCATCTTGAACCCCATTCTATTCTTCGGATCCCATGGCAGAGAAGAAATCACAGTGCCTTTGAAGAGGGCATCTCTTCCTTGCCGAAACCAAGGCTTCAACATCGTCACTACCGTCGTGCACCGAACCATCTCCCGCATTTATCCCACCTACATGAAACAAGCAGAATCATGAGAAAGAACAATGCAATGCTCATGCCAAACCCAACAACGAAATGTGGTGACATCCATTAGCCATAACAGAAGAACCACACACCGCACAACCACCACACGATCACCCTTAGCAAACTAGAACATGAAATGGGAAACACACCAAGAGAACACCTTGACCTGCGGAAAAAATAGGAAAGACACGGCGAAGAACAGGGGGAAAAAACCACAAAGGAAAACAATAAATCGAAATAAGAATACACTAACAACAACCACGGGGGTCAACGGACTCGACACCACAAATCAGCAAGTACCTACTCCAGGCAGCCTAAAAATGAAAGACAGCCAACACAGCACAATATTCATCTTATTGCGCCAATAACCTCACAACGTGTGAACCCCGAAAGTGGTAACCGAGAGACGATGATCATTCAAATATTTCCCCAGGCAAACCCACGTGCAAAGACACCGCCCACAAAGCCAATTTTTAAAATTCAATCCCTTAGGCGAACCCACGCAAAATGACACCACCCACATAGCCAATTTTTAAATTTTAAAAGACTATATTGATAAGGTAAATAATGATTTAAATAAATGGAAACAAAAGGTAGCCAAAAATTTCTAGGAAGCTTGCCAAAAGGCAACACGTGCGAAAGGAAACCAACCAAAGGCAACACGCACAAAAACACTGTTCAAGGACTGTTCACGGGGACTTCCCAAATTGATAAGGATTATTGATAAATAATTATATATCTAATAAAATAATATAATTGATTATTAAATAATATAATTTTATTATTTTAATACTTAATCGTATATAATTCATTATTCACAACATAAAATAATAAAAAATTTAAATAAATAATAAAAAATATCACTTCCTTTTTTATTAGAAAAAATAATTTAATAATCATTAGAGTGGTGACGTTTTAATAAAAAAAAAATGCCACCTCTCTCCTATTACATATTAAAATAAAATATACTAAAATTTCTTTAATTAATTGAAATAAAGTTAATAACTATATATTTAATAAAATAATAATTGGTCATTAAATAAAATAAAGTATCAAATTCTTCATTTCTTAGAAACTATACAATTAAAATATTAAATAATTAAAATATAGTTAAATCATTATTATGAAATATAATAATTAATACTGGTTATATATATTTTAATTGTTTATTATCTTTAATAAAATTAAATAACATTATTAAGTGTTAAATAAAATAAAAATGTTGTCAAATTTTTGTAAAAATTACAACAGACAAAGGTGGTGATTTTTGAGGACCAATCACCACCTCTGTTAGACTGTAAAAATAGTTTTAATAAAGCTATAAGAGAGGTGGCGTTTTCAATTCCTGAAAATGCCACCTCTCTAACTCAATTTAAAAAAATTAATAAATAAAATTAAATAAATTATTATATATATAATAAAATAATATAATTAATTATTAAATAATTAATTTATTATATAAATACTTAATCATATATAATTCATAATTCACAATATAAAAAAATAATAAAATTTAAATAAATAAAAAAAATATCACTTTCTATTTATTGGAAAAATATTTTATAATCATTAGAGAGGTGTCGTTTTTAATAGGTACAAACATCACTTCTCTCCTATTACATATTAAAAATAAAATATCATAAAAAAATTTTAATTAATTAAAAAAATTACTAACTATATATTTAACAAAATAATAATTGGTCATTCAATAATATAGTATCTAACTAGGAGCTAAAAATGCCATCTCTCTATCATTATTTATGAAATAATCAATACATGATTAATTGAATATACTAATTAATTAAATTGTAATATAATAATATTTTAATATGATAAAAACAGAGATATATAGAGGTGGCATTTTAAAGATTTGAAATGCCACCTCTCTTATTTTAATTTATTAATTGGAATATCTTTTTTGTAATGAGTAGACTTGTGGCGTTTTTTTTAATTAAAAGGATGATTCATTCATAACTAGATATTACAAACTCAAAACCCCCTATATAGCCATTTCTCTCCCCTTCCTCCTCTTCTTGAATAAAGGAGGGAGGATGGTTAAAGAAATATTCCTCTAAAATTATATTCTGAGCAAACTTAGTAAAAGCACCATCCTTTTTGACAATATCCTAGGCTTAAACTTAAAGTTAACAACATAATCTCTACCTATAATCATTCTAGCTTCTTGAATAATGTCCCAATAAAGGTGATTCAGTTAGGAATCTCTCAAAATCAAACTTAAGGCATTAATACAGTCATAAATAACATTAATTTTCCTAATTCCAAGATTCCAACTATAGTGAAGCCCATTTGTGGCATTTTCAAACGTCTCAGATGCCACCTCTCTGATTTTAATTAATTAATTAAAAATATATATTTATTATTAATGACAATTAAATAATTATATTAAAATTATTATATAATCTAACAAAATTTAATGCAGGACAAATTAGAAAGGTAGCCTTTTATTACTGAAATGCCACTAATAATATTATTTACTAAAAGCTGTGGCATATTTTTTAAAGAAATGCCACCTATTATTATATACTAAAATTATAAATAAAAAGAATAATGTATTAGTGGTGGCATTTTTTTTTATCGTTACAAAATGCATACTACTAATTTCGATTTCTGTAGTAATGCATGTATTATAATACTATGAAACCAATTTGGCATATTTTAGAGCATATCTCCATCTGAAATAAATTAATGAGGAAAAATTTGTCATTGCCATCATGAATTTCTATGATTCAATAAAATTCAATAATACAAATATAAACTCTAATTGATTCACAACAATAATCATTGTAAAATGTTATATAGCGAACCAAACTTTCATTATTGTTTGCTGAATTCATAACTATAACATTGTAAAAATATATATATATCATTGCATTTTTCACATATCCATTGCGGCCTCGACATATCTTTATAATTTTGAAAGTCTATGCTGAAATGTTTCAGACCTCAAGAAATAGTAGGACAAATATGATAACCGATACCTATATCAAATTTTATTCATCATATGACTTGAAACAAAGGCATCACCGTCAAATTATAACTTGAGACAAGAGGCTACAGACAAGAAATTAGAAGTTTGGACTTTGGATATAAAAAAAAAAAGTAATAAAGTTGTCTTGTTAGATACGATGAAAGTTTTTTTAGATATATACTTAATTTTAAGATACAAGAAATTTTTCACGTAATGTTCCCAAAAAAATACTAACAGAAAAAGGTAACAATGTCTTCTAATGGGAAGATATTCAATAGAATTGTATGAATTCAATCACATATTTATACCCATATTCTTTAGAAAATTTGAACAAAATTTACATTACATAGGATCCCTAAGCTTGATTCTTAATGGAATTAATTGAACACATATAGTTCTTAGTGCACTTCAAAATTTAATTGAACCAGTATTCTATAAGAAACATTGAAGTACATTTTACTGAAAATGTGCTTACAGTTCCTCAAGATTTTCAAACCTAAGATTCCCCTTATTTTATTTCAGCAAGTCATCCCCCTCAAAATAGTAGTTCTTTCTTTCTTTCTTTCTTTCTTTCTTTCTTTTCTTTTGAACTTCAAAGGCACTTGATATTCATAGCTTGGCTCCTCCAGTAATCTAATAAGAGCTCTACCCCAGATATTTTTACGAAAAACTAGATGATGCATGATAGGATCCTTTCCATGCATGCATATAACAAATTACAAGATGATATTACTACTGTGGTACTACTAAGATTTAACTAATAATCCTGATGTTTTATCCATGCCACAGTTTTTTGTTGCTCTAGGATAAATAGGTTCATTGTACTCAAACATGGCAAAAATAGTTTTACTTTCGTGATTAGCCCTAAAATTGACGGTAACAAACTATATACCTATGTTAGGAGATTTCAAGGATAAAATAGAAACATACCAAATCTAACGCTTTTTCATTTACAGTGGAGGTTGATCAAATTTTAGGAGAATCCCAAGAATAAGGCGTCAGTAAAATAATGATACAACTTGAAATAGAAAAAAAAAATTAAACTAAAGACCAATTGCATAGATTAGCAAATTAGTTTATCACAAACTTGCTACATTTGTAGAGATTTCAATTGGGATGTTTTTTCAGATAGATTTGATCCATATTTCGCATTTACATAAAAGACAGTATCCTTTTAAAGAATTATAAGATTCATAATACAGGCAACCAAAAATGGCAAGATAGATAGTAGTGCCGCATGCTGAGCGCAATCATCAGCTCATTTCCTCCTCAGCCACGTTGATGTGTCTTTGCCTCATCCCGTAAGAATAAATAAAAAAAGGAAAACTCATTTCGAATTTGAAGTTCCATAAGCTAGAAAACAATATACTACAAGCATTTAGGAACCATCTACCGCGTAACCTACTATATATTTCTCCTTATGGAAATAGAAGCTATTATTACTAACTATTTTACACTATCTCTTCAATATTCCTTGCATTTGATTCATCTCTACATCTTTTGCATGCATTTTTCTTCCAACTTTATGAAGACAGGGGCATGAAAACAAACCAAGCAATCATCAACCCTAATTTTGAACATCAACGTAATAAGATTTGAAGTGACAGCACTACACTTGCCTCTTTCCTCACTTTCTACTCGTTCACTACTTTTGAAGTTGAAAGCCGCAGCCCTTGGCCTAGCCTCAGACTTTCCTGAACTTGAATTGACACTTGGGTTCACCCTAAACAACAGTACCATACTAGTTCATATTAGAAGGGAAAGAAAAGATTCATTCTTAATGTAAGTGTACACACCTATTAGGTCCTTGGATTCCTCTGGAATCAGCTTTTAAAATAGCAGGTTGGGATTCTGCAGCCTTTTTTTATTCCTAGAACTTTTTCGCTACAAAAAAAGTACGAAGTAGCCATGTGTGAAATATGTAATGTTTTTAGACCTAAGAAACAACAACTGCCTTTTCCCCTCACAAGTTACTTTTTTTCTCGCTTTTAGAAACCTACATACAGACCCATCCATGTTGCTACTGCATTTTCACTAATGATGCATTGAGGACATTAATAATCAACATAATTTGAGAATGTACATTG